CCGGCGGGCTGTGGGGCGGGGGGGGGGGGCATCTTCCCGGTGTGTCGCTCCTCCCGGAGGCCGCGGCGCAAGGCGCACCCTGTCCTGGAGAAGTATGTTGCGGTGCGCGCGCCGATGCCGAGAGACGGCCCGAGCAACCAGCACGGATGGGCCCCTGTGAAACAGAGCCCCCTGGCAGCGCGCCTTCTGACAACCGAGATTTTCATGCTGTCGGCGTGAACGCGACGCCCTGCTCCGCGGCGCACATTGCTGCCAGGCCGGCCGGCCCGGCCCATAGCCCGCCCTTTTCCAGCTCCCACAAGTGCCCCCCACAACACCGGCCCTCCAGTGGCCACGGGAGATTGCCACAGACCGCGGTGCTCAGCCGGCCGCATCCGTATCTCCAGAACAGGCGCGTGGGTAGTGCCAGCGCATCCACATCGTTGGGAGATGATCGGAACCCTTCGGCCGCGCCCCACACCAACGCCCGGGGGGGGGGGGGGGCCCCACACGAAAGGGGGCAAACGCGGACAGGCAGGAGGGAGACAGGGAGGGGGCACCGCAGAGGGTGGGCGCTAGACCCCCTTCCCCCCCCCCCCCCCCCCCCCCAGCGCGCATCACCGCACATCGCCGCCGATAAGTGCAAATCAGCCCAGACCCGGCACGCCTTGACACAGATCAGGGCATATCACAGCGCCGGCTGCCGTGGTCTGGCGCAAATCGGCGCCCGCCAGCGCGCACGCATCGGTGCCCGGTGCCCTATGTGCGTGTGTGCGTGCGTGGGCGGGTGTGGACGCGGCCGGAGCCGGCGGCGGCGGCGAGAGAGAGAGAGAGAGAGAGAGAGAGAGAGAGAGAGAGAGAGAGAGAGACAGAGAGGGTACTCTTCTATTGCTTGTCACATGGCCGGGGAGCTACTACAGCTCAAGGTCTTCGTCGGGCTCGTCCTCGTCAAAGTCATCTCCCTCGTCGTAGACATACTCGATGAGTCCCGTCGGCCCGGGCGCCCAGGGAACCTGCACACCGAACAGCCAGTCGGCCGGCGGAAGAGCCGGCAGAGTGCCGGCCGCAGGAGCGGAAGTGGCACCTGTGCCGGCGATTGTGGCCCCGGACCCGGCCGTGGGCGATCCATAAAAGAGGCTGTCCGTTTGGGCCCGGGTGAAGGGCAACTCGACATCGGCCCGGGCTCGACGTTCGGCCTCCGACAGGCCGAGACTGAAGGACACCCCGGCCAGACCGGCTGCCAAGCCGGCGTCCGGCTCCAAGGCCAGGGGCACGGCACTCGCGCCGGCAGCTGGCTCCGGCTGGAGGGGAGGCTGCTGCTGCTGCTGCTGCTGCTGCTGCTGCTGCGCTGGCGCCGGCGGCCGCGAGGCAGCTGCCTGCGCTGGCGCCGGCGGCCGCGAGGCAGCTGCCTGCGCTGCCGGGGCCGGGTTCCGGGATGGGGGGGCAAGGGCGGCAAAGTCGCATGCGACGAGCGGCCGCCGGGTCAGGCCGACCGCGGCGCCAGGCCCCGGGTCCAGGAAGAGCGTTTCCACCAGGCACCACTGGCTGGCGGATCGGCCACCGCGACGGCTGAGCGTCAGCACCAGCTGGCATGCATGTCGCGCGCGCACGCGCAGGGCCGTGTTTGCCCACTTGCCTGCCGGTGCCCCGGCCTGCGGGCAGCCTGGGCCCGAGGAGGCCGTGTAGGCCAGCAGCCGGGCGGCTCGGGCCGCTGGGCCATCGGCCCCGAGGAAGGGCCCGGCGTCGGCCGGCACCGGCTCCGGGGCCTCCAGCCCGGGAATGGTGCTGGCAATGTGGCGGCCCTGGCCAGGGATGGGACCATCCTCGGCGGTCAGCCGGAAGACCGCGGCCGCGGGACGCTCCAGCGCCGCCAGGAGATATGGCCGGAAGAGATCGGCCGGCAGGGACACCAGCGACCACACTTCGACGCTGTCTGGGCCAAAGTGCCCGGCCGCCGCGATCTCCAGGGCTCGGGAGACCTCCGACAGCAGCCGCCCCGGGGCGAAAGCCGGCACATGGTGCGGCTGGGCCCGATCGCCGCGCAGGACCAGCGGCGAGATGTCCTCCAGGAAGAAGAGCACCCGTCGGCGCCACCGCCGAGCCGGCCCCTCGGAGATGCCGGAGGGCCCGGCCCGGGAGAGGGCCTCCCCCGCGGCGATGGTCAGCTCGGCCGGATCTTCGACCTCCGGGCATCGGAGCCGGAGGAAGACCGGGTCATCGGGGCTCGAGGGGCGCAGGGCGATCGGCAGGGTCAGTCGCGCGTAGAGCATCGGCCCGGCCGGCGCGGCCAGTGTGTCGGCCAGCAGCACGGTTCTCCCGGGCAGCGACGATAGGAGGGAGCATTCGGCCGTAGGCCGGGCAGAGGCCAGCTCACCAAGGAGCCCCGGGGCCAGGAGCTCGAACCGGTGCCCGGCGACAGCGGCAGACATCGGGGGGGAGGCGGAGCGGCGGGACAGCGACACAGGGCACCGGGCTGGAGGCGAGCGCGGGAGGGGGCCGGCAGAGGAGGAGGCGAAAGGGACAACGAGGCGTGAAAGGCAAGGGGGCGAGGGGTGCCGGGGGCGTGGGGCCGGCCCCGGGCGCGCGGCCCGCAGGGCGCCGGCATCTGAGCCGGGCCGGGCCGACTGAGCGTGGGTACTTTCCGGGGGTCACGTTGCAATCACGCATTTTCGGGAATCACCCAAAAAGCGTCGCAGTCGCCCCCCTCTCTCCTCCCCCCCCCCCCCCGGGGTCACCCGGAGAGGAGGCGGGCGTGGGACGCGCGCGGGTGGGCCCGTACGCTTCACTGGTTGGCGGGTGCGAGGCGGCCATAGAGGGAGACCGGCCGGGGAAGCACCGGGGCGGACGGTGATGAACAGGGCCCCGACGCGGGCAGGGGCGGAGAGACCTGTTGGGAGCGCGTATGGCAGATAATGCCGAAGCGATATAGGCCCGCCAGGGCGTCGGGAAATGTGGCCTTGATTTATTTCTTCGTCATACTGTGGCGCCCACGCCCAGGCGCTTGCCGCTGGCTGGCGCACTCCCAGCACTTTGGTCCTGGAGGCTGCTCTTGGCCTTCTCGCCCGGGGCTGGGGCCTCTCTGGTGGGGCTATCTTTCTGCTTTTATCGGCCCCCCAGTGCGTGGACCAAAAAACAGCCCACCATACGCAGGGGCCCTCTCGGCCGGCCGGCCGGCCCGGCGGGCTGGCAATAATGTTCCCCCACGCGCGGCACATGCACCAGCCAAGGGCTGCCCGCCGCCCTGAATGCCGCGGGTAAAGGGCGGGGGGGGGGGGCGGGACGAACAGACAGGCGAGGGGGGAGGGGGGACAAAAAGAAGGAAAAGACAAGAGAGGCGGAAGAGGGCCGGGAGGCCGCGGGCGGCCCGCCCCGCCCGCCGGGGTGCGGAGGGGGTGGGGCGCCCGGGCGGGGGGGGGGGGGCGGCATACGGGGCGGGCGGGGGGGGGGGGGGGGGGGGGGCATTGGCCGCCGGAGGGAGACGCCGACCGAGCCGAGCCGAGCCGAGCCGGGCCGCCCGATGCGCCGGACTGCCGGCCCCGCCCGGGATGGTTGGCGTGCGCCTTTTTTTGTGGACGCCCTCTGGCCTCCGGGGCGCCTCGCGCACCCGGGGCGGCAATCAGCTCCTTACTCTCCGGGCCGGGCTTTCCCCCTCCCCCTCTTTCTCCGGCTCACCGCGCGCCCCCTCCCCCCTCTCTCCCCCCTCCCCCCTGCCTCCTTCCCGCCGTCCACTCGCCGCTCGCGCCCCTCCCGGTCGGTCACCACCAGCGTAAAGCGCGTCCGGACGCCGGGACATTCGCACACTCCCCCTTCGCCATTGGCGAGCCTGAGCGCGCTCCCGCCTCCTTTCTGCTTCCCCCCCCCCCCCCCCCCCGTCCTCGCCCCCTTCCTGCCCCCCTGCTCCCAAGATGCGGTTTGCTCCCTTGCGCGTGCCGCTCAAGCGGCGCATGGAGACGCTGGTCCTTTTCTTTTGGACGACACAAATGTTCTGGGCCTCGGTGCTGCTGGCGGTCATCGCCTTTACACCGCCTCTCTGGCCCATTGCCCTGATTTACTTCGTGTGGATGTGGAACGACAAGGCCCCGTGGAATGGTGGCCGTCCATTCCGCTGGCTGCGCGCTCACTGGGTACATATGCCATCTTCCCCTTCGCCCAGCCCCCCCCCCCTCCTCCCCTCCCTTTCGCCCTCTCGCCTGGTATCCCCCAGGACACCAAGCAAAGGGGTCGCCCCGTGCGAGGCTCCGACGCGCTCTCTCTCTCTCTCTCTCTCTCTCGGGGGTGCTCCGCCGCCCCGCTCTCCCCGACGCATGGCCTCCTTCTCACCGCCCTGTGCCACCTGGCTGTCTCTAGATCTGGGGCCACTTCCGCGACTACTTCCCGGTGACCATTGTCCGCGCATCGCCGGCCCCCTTCGACACCACGCGCAAGTATCTCTTCGCCTACCACCCCCATGGCGTGATTAGCTTCGGCGCCTTTGCCACCTTCGCCTGTGCGTATCACGGCTTCGATCGGCTGTTCCCCGGCCTGGCGCTGCGCCTGTGCACGCTGAACAGCAACTTTTGGTTCCCCTTCCTTCGGGACTTCATGCTGTCCATGGGCCTGATCAGGTACTGGCTCCTCCCCGGCGCGCCCCGGCACGCCCTCGCACGCATGCATCTCCCGGCGCTCGGCCGGCTTGCCATCTTGCCACTGGCTGACCCATGACATCGGGGGGGGTTACTCCCTGCCCCCTCTCCCGCGCCCGGCCGGCCGGCCGGCAGTGCCGATCGCCGATCCATCCAACGCTCGTTCGACATCGGCGGCCCGGGATCCTGTGTGGCCCTGGTGGTCGGCGGTGCGGAGGAGGCCCTCGACGCCCGGCCCGGGACCATTGACCTGACCCTGGCCCGCCGGCGTGGCTTCGTTCGCATGGCCCTGCGCACTGGGTACGCCTCGCACACACACACACACACACACACACACACACATGCATGCGCCGCTTTTGGGGGGCTGCTCGGGCCTTCGCCGCCGCCGCCGCGGCCAGCCGTGCGACGAAGCGGGCACGTGGGCCACTCGCGCCGGGCATCAGCCACTGACCTCTGCATCCTTTCGCGGACTTGCTGCCGCTGCTGTCGCCCCTCCTCCCATCCCCTGGCCCGATGCAGGTCCTGGCTCGTCCCTGTCATTGCCTTCGGCGAGAACGACGTATACAACCAGCTGGTGGCCAACCCCCCCGGGTCCCGGGCCCGCGCGGCTCAGTCATGGTTCAAGAAGATCTTCGGCTTTTCGACCCCGCTCTTTTCCGGGCGCGGGGTGTTCAACTATGACTTCGGCCTGCTGCCCCTGCGTAAGCCGATTGTCGTGGTCATCGGCGATCCGATCCCCCCGCCGGGGTATTCGCCGGCCATCCCGCGCCTGCTGCCCTTGGATTTGGATGCCGCGGTGGCGGGCATCACGGCGGCCGATGACTCGGCCACCGAGGAGCACGACCCTCGCCCGGTCAAGCCGAGCACCGGGCCGGGGCCGGACCTGGCGGCCGCCCCGTCGGTGGCCAGCCTTTCGCAGTGTGACACGGCGGCCTGCTCGCCGACGGAGGTCCCGGCGCAGTTGCCGGAGTCCCCCGCCGCCGAGGCACGGCCGGCGTCGCCCCCGCCGGCCCCGGTGCCCGGCAAGATGCGCGGCAAGGCCGGGCGCCGGGGTCGCCCGGCTCCCGGGCAGAACAAGTCCGACTCGGACCTCAGCCTGGCCTCGGTGTCGTCGCTGCCGCCGGGGGCAGGCTCGCCGGAGCGGCCCCGGTCGCCGGGCTCGCCCGAACGGCCCCGGTCGCCGGCCCCGGTCGCGGCGGCCAGCCCCGAGCCTCCCCCGGCGGAGGAAGCCTCCCGGTCCGCCGCCGAGGCCACCACCACCATCATGGCGTCCGGCGCCCAGGCCGTGTCGACGGCCGTGGCGTCGGTGCGTACGGCTCGCCGCCGCCGGCAGGCCGGGTCCTCATCCTCGCAGGGGGGCGCCTCCGAGGCGGGTGGCGCGGCCTCCCGGACCGGCGGCAGCAGCGGCCCCTCAGATCTGCTCATCCAGCAGTACCATGTCCTGTATTGCGAGAAGCTGCTCGAGCTCTACGATCAGTACAAGGACATCTATGCGCCGAATCGGTCGCTGGACATGCGCATTGTCCGCTAAAAGACGCGCTCATAGACACAGGTAGCTAGGCAAGGGGAAGGCCGACAGCGAGAAGTCACGGAAGGCTTGTGCCGTGCGCCGATGCGTGCGGCGCGAAGCCCGGTGGCCGAGGCGAGGCGTGCATATGCGCTCAGGTGTGCTGCCCGGTGGGGATGCGCCGCGCACCGGCCGGCCCATGCCCACCATGCCCCCGCACCTCGCGGCAATGCCTGTGCCGCTCCTCGTCTGCCGCTCGTGTGCCACCAAAAAGACAATCTCCCAAACACCATCCCTCCTTTTTTGGGTGTCTGGCGGGGGGAGAGGGGGTGTACTCGGGGATCGGCGCTGGCGGTTGGCCCTTTGCTGGCGGCTTCGCCCCCTCGCCCCTTGGGGAGGAGAGCACCGAGAGGTGTGACCTTGGCATGCGGGTGCGTGCAGCAGGCCCTTCTCCCTCTCGCGCCTCTTCCCCAAGAGGCGTGCCGCGCCCCAAGAACCGCATCCCCCCGTTCGGCCGATCGCCGGCGCGTGGGGTGGGTGTCGTCGGGACACATGCCCGCTCGGGGAGGGCGGGGCAGCAAAAGGAAATACACCGGCGACAGGATTTGAACCTGTGCGGGCAGAGCCCATCTGATTTCGAGTCAGACTCCTTAACCACTCGGACACACCGGTCGGATGTTGGGATGCCGGCCGCGAGACGTCCATTTATAGGTTGCGCTTTTGGGCGGGCCGCTCCCCGCGAGGCGAGAGGTTCGCCAATCAAGGAATGGCGGACAATGGCCTCAACTATAAATACCGAGATGTGGGGCATTCCCCACATGAGAAGTAAACCGGTGTGTCCGAGTGGTTAAGGAGTCTGACTCGAAATCAGATGGGCTCTGCCCGCACAGGTTCAAATCCTGTCGCCGGTGCATTTCTTTTTGGATGCCGATCCGCGGTTCTGCCTTCCCAGCTCGGCGCGCCCGCGCGCACGCCCACACCCCGGTTGTTTTGATTTACATTGCCGGCCGGTCTGGCGGCTCTACGGCGCTGAGCCGGGCGCATGCGCGAGCCGGGGGAGGGGGCGGCAGGGCCTTTTTTCCCCCCCCCCCCCCCCCCCCGCCTCGGGGGCGCCCCCTCCTGCTGGCACCGGGCGTGCGGCCGGCCGAGCGGGCAGGGGCATACCCCAACAGCAACCCCGGCGCTCGTCTCCCCCTCCCCCCCCCCCGGGAAGGGAACGGGCCCGGGGTAGCACGCCCGAACCGCGACCTCGGGCCGGTGTGTCCTGCCGAAGGGGGAGACCCCACAGGAAAACAGCGCGCAGGGGGGGGGGGGGGGGGCGTCGGCAGGAATTCCCCCCCCAAACAAGGGCCAAATTCCGTCGGCACTAGGAACTATTTGAGACCCCGCGGCCGGAGCCCGGCCGGAGAGTGTGACCGACAGCCAGCACCCTTCCCCCTCTGCCGCCTTCTCTCTTCGCTTTTTGTCGGTATTTCCTCCCCTCGCAACAACGCCACAATGAGCTCCCACACCAGCACCGCCCAGGTACATCCCCCCCCCCCTCCCTGCCCCCTGCTCCCGTCTCTTGCCGGCTGCCCGGCCACCTGGCCCCCGCGTGTCGCCCCGTCGCGCTCACCCCCCCCCCCTGCATGGCGGCCGGCCAGCCTGGAGGAATGCC